TATGTTTTTCAGTGACTGGTACTGGTTTTTCCTTTTCATATTTAGTGCTTCCTTCGGGAGCTCTTGTAAGGCAGGCCTAGTAGTGACAAAATCTCAGCATTTGCTTGTCTGTAAAGGATTTTACTTTTCCTTTGCTTATGAAGCTTAGTTTGGCTGGATATGAAATTCTGGGTTGAAAATTCTTTTCTTTAAGAGTGTTAAATATTGGCCCCCACTCTCTTCTGGCTTATAGAGTTTCTGCAGAGAGATTCACTGTTAGTCCGATGGGCTTCCCTTTGTGGGTAACCCGACCTTTCTCTCTGGCTGCCCTTAACATTTTTTCCTTCATTTCAACCTTGGTGAAACTAATGATTATGTGTCTTGGGGTTGCTCTTCTTGAGGAGTATCTTTAAGTATCTCTGTATTTCCTGAATTTGAATGTTGGCCTGCCTTGCTAGGTTGAGGAAGTCCTCCTGGATAATATCCTGAAGAATGTTTTCCAACTTGATTCCATTCTCCCCGTCATTTTCAGGTACACCAATCAAACATAGGTTTGGTCTTTTCACATAGTCCCATATTTCTTAGAGGCTTTGTTCGTTCCTTTTCATTCTTTTTTCTCTAATCTTGTCTTCATGCTTTATTTCATTAAGTCGATCTTCAATCTTTGATATCCTTTCTTCCGCTTGATTGATTTGGCTTGTGACACTTGTGTATGCTTCACGAAGTTCTTGTGCTGTGTTTTTCAGCTCCATCAGGTCATGTATGGTCTTCTCTAAACTGGTTTTTCTAGTTAGCAATTCATCTAACCATTTTTCAAGGTTCTTAGCTTCCTTGCATTGGGTTAGAACATGCTCCTTTAGCTCAGAGGAGTTTGTCATTACCCACTTTCTGAGGCCTATTTCTGTCAATTTGTCAAAGTCATTCTCCATCCAGTTTTATTCCCTTGCTGGTGAGGAGTTGTGATCCTTTGGAGAAGAAGAGGCGTTCTGGTTTTTGGAATTTTCAGCCTTTTTTTGTGCTGGTTTCTCCTCATCTTCTTGGATTTATCTACCTTTGGTCTTTGATGTTGGTGACCTTCAGATGGGGTTTCTGTGTGGATGTCCTTTTTGTTTATGTTCATGCTATTCCTTTCTGTTTGTCAGTTTTCCTTCTAATAGGCCCCTCTGCTGCAGGTCTGCTGGAGTTTGCTGGAGGTCCACTCCAAACCCTGTTTGCCTGGGTATCACCAGCAGAGGCTGCAGAACAGCAAAGATTGATGCCTGTTCCTTCCTCTGGAAGCTTCGTCCCAGAGGGGCACCCACTAGATGCCAGGGGGAGCTCTCCTGTATGAGGTGTCTGTCAACCCCTGCTGGGAGGTGTCTCCTAGTCAGGTGGCAGAAGGGTCAGGTCACCCACTTGAGGAGGCAGTCTGTCCCTTAGCAGAGCTCAAGCACCATGCTGGGAGATCTGCTGCTTTCTTCAGAGCTGGCAGGCAGGGACGTTTAATTCTGTTGAAGCTGTGCCCATAGCCGCCCCTTCCCCCAGGTGCTCTGTCCCAAGGAGATGGGAGTTTTATCTATAAGTCCCTGACTGGGGTTGCTGCCTTTCTTTCAGAGATGCCCTGCCTAGAGAGGAGGAATCTAGAGAGCCAGTCTGGCTATGGAGGCTTTGCTGAGCTGCAGTGGGCTTCCCCGAGTTCGAACTTCCCTGCAGCTTTGCTTACACTGTGAGGGGAAAGCTGTCTACTCAAGCCTCATAATGGTGGACGCTTCGCCCCTCACTAAACTTAAGCATCCCAAGGCAACTTCAGATTGCTGTGCTGGCAGAGAGAATTTCAAGCCAGTGGATCTTAGCTTGCTGTGCTCTGTGGGGGTGGGATCTGTTGAGCTAGACCACCTGGCTCCCTGGCTTCAGCCCCTTTTCCAGGGAAGTGAACGGTTCTGTCTCGCTGGCATCCCAGGCGCCAATAGGGTATGAAAAAACACTCCGCAGCCAGCTCAGTGTCTGCTCAAATGGACACCCAATTTTGTGCTTGAAACCCAGGGTCCTGGTGGTGTAGGCACCCAGGGGAATCTCCTGGTCTGCAGGTTGTGAAGACTGTGGGAAAAGCGTAGTATCTGGGCCGGAGTGCACCATTCCTCAGGGCACAGTTCCTCCCAGCTTCCCTTGGGTAGGAGAGGGAGTTCCCTGGCCTCTTGCGCTTCCCGAGTGAGGTGACGCCCCACCCTGCTTCTGATCACTCTCTGTGGGCTGCACCCACTGTCCAAGCAGTCCCAATGAGATGAGCCGGGTACCTCAGTTGGAAATGCAGCAATCACCTGCCTTCTGCGTTGGTCTCACTGGGAGACAAGCTGCAGACCAGAGCTGTTCCTATTCAGCCATCTTGCCACTCCCCCCTCTTTTGTTCTTAAATGGACACACTCATGCATGTTGTTCCACTTGCTCCTGTGTTGGGGTTGATGAGGATACCTTTTAACTGTGTTTTAAATTTTTTTATTTTTGAGATAGAGTCTCACTCTGTTGCCCAGGCTGGAGTGCAGTGGCTCTCGGCTCACTGCAACCTCTGCCTACCAGGTTCAAGTTATTCTCCTGCCTCAGCCTCCCAAGTAGTTGGGATTACAGATGCCTGCCTCCTCGCCTGGCTAATTGTTTTTTGCATTTTTGGTAGAGATAGCGTTTCACCATGTTTTTTAGACACCATCCATGAAATTTGGTTTTGCTATTCTAATTGTTCCATGTGTTTTGTTGTTGCTATTGTTTGTTTGTTTGTTTGAGACAGGGGTCTCCCTCTGTCATCCTGCCTGGAGTGCAATGATGTGTTCTCAGTTCACTGCAGCCTCAACCTCCTAGGCTCAAGGGATCCTCCCACCTCAGCCTCCTGAGGAGCTAGGACTACAGGGGTGCACAAGCATGCCAGGAACATTTTTATATATTTTTTTGTAGAGATGGGGTCTCGCCTTGTTGCCCAGGCTGGTCTCTTGGGCTTGAGTGATCTGCCCATCTCAGCCTCCCAAAGTGCTGGGGTTACAGGCTTGAGACATGACGCCCAGCCCTCTATGTGTGTTTATGGAGGGATTTATGTAGTGGTATTTTTGGGGTGGCTCAAAAACCATGCCCCCACAGTATCTTTCCAGAATCCTCTCAACCTTAGGAAAATTTGAAGACATATTCTATTGTACAACAGGTTGTGCAGACCAGTCTGTTGTACAATAGGTTATGTCATCAATTCATCACTATCCTACTGCACTCTCTGCCTCCAATGCCAGGCTCTAATTACACTTGTCCCATTTCAGTTCCTCAAACATGAGCAGCCCTTTCCAAATCTCTAGTCCTCTGCTGCTGTTTCTCTGGAATTGCAGAGTGGTGTCTCCCTGGAATGCTGTCCCTCTGAATTCTTTGGAAATTCCTCTCTATCCTGGTTACTTACTTCCTTGGTCAGGCACGGTGGCTCACGGCTGTAATTCCAGCACCTTGGGAGGCCAAAGAAGGTGGATCGCTTGAACCCAGGAGTTTAAGGCCAGCATGGGCAACACAGCAAGACCCCTTTCTCTATAGAAAATATTTTAAAAATCAGCCAAGTGTGGTGGCACACACCTGTCGTCTCAATTACTTGGGAGACTAAGGCAGGAGGATTGCTTGAACCCAAGAGTTCAAGGTTGCAGCGAGCTATGATTGTGCCACTATACTACAGCGTGAGCAACAGGTCTCTAGAAAGAAAAAAAATTCCTTTCTCTTTTGTTTCTGTTTGCTTTTTGAGACAGAGTCTCACTTTGCTGCTCAGACTGATCACTGCTCACATGATCTCAGTGGTGAGATCATGGCTCATTACAGTCTCAGCCTCCCCGGGTCAAGTAGTCGTCCTGACCTCAGCCTCCCAAGTAACTGGGACCACAGGCGTACACCACCAAGCACAGTTAATTAATTTATTTTTTTTTTGAGATGGAGTTCCGCTCTTGTTGCCCAGGCTGGAGTGCAGTGGCGTGATCTCAGCTCACCGCAACCTCCGCCTCCTGGGTTCAAGAGATTCTCCTGCCTCAGCCTCCCCAGTAGCCGGGACTATACGCATGTGCCACCATGCCTGGCTAATTTTGTATTTTTAGTAGAGACGGGGTTTCTCTATGTTGGTCAGGCTGGTCTCAAACTCCTGACCTCAAGTGATCTGCCCATCTTAGCCTCCCAAAGTGCTGGGATTACATGTGTGAGCCACCACACCCTGCCAGCTAATTCAATTTTTTTTTTTTTTGTAAAGATGAGGTCTCCTCGTGTTGCCCAGGCTCGTCTCGAACTCCTGGGTTCAAGAGATCCTCGCAATTTAGCCTCTCAAAGTGCTGAGATTACAGGCATGAGCCACTGCACCCAGCCAATTTCTCTTTTTAAAAATAAATAATTTTTTTGAGACAGTCTCGCTCTGTCGCCCAGGCTGGAGTACAGTGGCGCGACCTGGGCTCACTGCAACCTCTCTGTCCTGGGTTCACACAATTCTCCTGCCTCAGCCTCCCTAGTAGCTGGGATTACAGGCGCCCACCACCATGCCCAGCTAATTTTTGTATTTTTAGTAGAGATGGGGTTTCACCATGTTGGCCAGGCTGGTTTTGAACCCTATCAAGTGAACCCCCAGCCTTGACCTCCCAATGTGTTGGGATTATAGGCGTGAGCCACTGCGACTGGCCTTATGCCTTTAGGACTCTATTTATTTTGAGACGGAGTTTCACTCTTGTTGCCCAGGCTGGAGTGCAATGGTGCAATCTCGGCTCATTGTAACCTCCGCCTCCTGGGTTCAAACATTCTCCTGCCTCTGCCTCCCGAGTAGCTGGGATCACAGGCATGCGCCACCACGCCCGGCTAATTTTATATTTTTAATAGAGATGGGGTTTCTTCATGTTGGTCAGGCTGGTCTCCAACTTCTGACCTCGGGTGATCCGCCCGCCTTGCCCTCCCAAAGTGCTGGGATTACAGGCGTGAGCCACCGCGCCCGGCCCTAGAACTCTTTTTTTTTTTTAATCATGAGTTAGGCTGATAATTTTCAGGGCAAATCCAAAGAGTCTCCATTAATGTCTGTCTTTATTTTCACATGAACACTGGAGGATATGCAATGGCTTTTTTCAGCGCAAAAATTCACATCCTACCAGGTCAAGTGACTGGAGTTCACCTGTCTCGGGTGTACCGCACCTTGCGCCAGGCTTCAGAAGCTAGATCCCCGAGTCTCGAGGTCCAGCTGGGCGTGGAGACGGGTACGTGCCCGCCGCGCCTCGCGCATGCGCCCTAGGCCCGCAGGGCCCCGCGCTCGAAGCTCAGCTCCCAGTGTACCCTGCTTTAACTAGCCAGCCAATTCACCTTCCTTCCCGAAGCTCCCAATTCGGCATTGCCTGGAGGCGGAAGTGGGTGGGAGGGGCCAGATGTGAGCCCCTCCCCGGAAGTGGGCGGGCCCCAAGGGCTCCACAGTCGTTCCGCCGCCGCCCAGTCGGGTTGCGGCGGAGGCCGGTCCTGGCTTTGTAGCTAGCTCAAGATGGCGGCGCAGCCACCCCGCGGGATACGCCTCAGCGCGGTGAGCAGCCGCGAGGGGTGGAGCGGGCCGTATCCCAGGAGGGCGGGCAGGCGGGCAAGCGAGGGTGGGCCGGCAGTGGGCGGTGGCGGCTTGTGGGGCCGGCGAGGCGGCGGGGGCTGCGGCGGGGCCAGGGGAGGGGGCGGCCATCTCGCTCCCGTCGGCGGAGCGGCTCGGCTGCGGGTCGGGCTGGGGCGGCGCGGGACGGGCTGCGTTCCGTCGCCTCTGCATTGTGTTTCTGTTTTGCTTCGGGGAGGGCCAGGGTCGCGGCCCTCCTCCCAGCTCCCTTCTAGTCTACCCGCAGCTGTCGTCCGCGGGCGAGGCCTCGGCGGGAGACCGGACTGCTCCCGGGGCCGCGGCGCCCCTGACTTTTCTGTCCGCTGGGCGCCGTGGTGGGAAAGGAGCGGGTTCCGCGTCCAGAAACGCCGGCGGCCTCGATCTCCCGGGGGCGGGGACTGGGCTCCGGGCCTGCCCGCGGGCGGGTGGAGTCGGGATGAGTGTGCCTGATACCTGTCAGTGCCCGCAGCTTCCTTGGCAGTGGAAGCCCTGGGGCCCAGACCCTAGATCGCCGAGCTCGAGCTCTCCTCTATCCCACGTTGCGTCTGTTTTGGGGCGTTTCGAGTTCTTGGAAACCCTGCGAACATTTCATGTATCTTAAATCGTAGGGAGCGGTCACACAAGGTAACTTGAATCTCACGTCCAGGAAATGTGGGCGTGGCTTCCCCACCTGATTATCCTAAAAAACTTTACTTCCTTGTGAGCGCAATTGTTGTTATGCTGAAACGTTCCTCTTTTTTGGAGGTTGTTGACTCTTGCCGAAGAATGACTGCCCTAGTGCCACTAATTTGAACATTCGAATGGGTAGTGACTGCTGGGGTACGAACACGTAGAGAATAATTGGTGCATTGCTCTGCGACTTCTTTCATTCGTTTAGGCAGATTCTAACGCCTGGTTTTGACGGACTTTAAATTTTTTCTAGTCCGATCTTTGTGAAATGATATCTGCTTTTACTTGCATTTCCTTGACTATGTTGTGTGGTTGAGCTCTTCGCATGTCTTTGTGGTTTTTTGTTTTGGTTTTTTTTTTGAATTGCCTATTCATATCCTTTGCCCATTTTCTATTTTTCTTTTGGGAGGATCTTTATTGATTTGTAAGAGTTCTTTACGTATTCTAGATAAAGGTCCATCCTTTCGTTATGTAACTGGCTTATTGAGCCAGCTAGGCTTTGGTAGTTTGAAAATAGAGGACAATTTTATTCTTTTTTTTTTTTTTTTTAACCATTGGCTGTAAACATTAATTATTCCCCACTTGTGTGAATCTGGGTTGACTAACGCTTTCCCGTTAGCTTAAGGTATTGTAAAGTCTGGCCTTATCTAGTTCAAAATCTCTATTCTCTCTCCCTCCCTTTTCCCCCTCTCTTCTTTCCCGGCTTCTCTCTCCTTCCCCTCTCGAGGTTGAGTCTTGTTCAGGCCCAGAAACCTGTAGGGGAGAAATGCAGTGAGTTGATTTCCTGTTTCTGTCCTTTGATTCTCTTCTCCCTTCCCGGCCCCCGGACTCTTGTAGACTCTGGCTCTTCAAGATTGAGGGGAGAAAGGAAGCAGAGATAATGGTCAAACAGCGTTTAGACACCAGCATTGTTAGCGGGCCCTCTGGGTGTTGCTGCTGTCCATGTGCTGGGTCTTTGTTTTGTGGGTAATATGGGCTGTTGGGAACCTTACTGACAGAAATCTCCCATCTGCAGCCTCTTCGCTTTTGCTTTAGGTCAGGAGTTGGCAAACTACAGCTCATGGGCCAAATCCAGCCCAGCACCTGTTTTTATATGGCCTGAAGGCTAAGAGTGATTTATACATTTGTAAACGGTTGAGGAAAGAAAGAAGAATGTTTAGTGAGGTAAAAAATAATGCGAAATACAAATTTCAGTTCCCATAAAATTTTATTGGAATATAGCCATAAACATTATTTGCTTATAGTTCTCAAATGCGTGCCTTAATAGAGATACAAGTTAATGAGCTTATGCATTTGTCAAAAGTCCTACATTTTAAAGGCACAAAGGGTGAACCCTTAGTGTATACACTTTTTTTTGGGGGGGGGGGGTGGGCTAGAGTTTCACTCTGTCTCCAGGCTGCAGTGCAGTGACACGATCTCGATCTCGGTTCACTGCAACCTCCACCTCCTGGATTCAAGCACTTCTCCTGCCTCAGCCTCCTGAGTAGCTGCGTTTACACACGTGGGCCACCACACCCGCTAATTTTGGTATTTTTAGTATATATAGGGTTTCACCATGTTGGCCAGGCTGGTCTCAAATTGTGCCCGGCCCAATGTATACACGTTTTAAACAGTCATTTAGGAGGTCAGAGATAACCAGGATGAAATGCAGAGTGACAAAAAGTTTTTAAATTTTTTGCTTTTTACGCCTGTAATTCTAGTGAAGTGAGATGCATATACTTTGGTTTTTGTTGTTGATTTTTTTCAGAAATCCTACTGTGGATTTAGCTGATGCACACTCGTCACCACCTCCCATACTTCAATGCTTTTATCACTTTTTTTGGTTGAATTACTATATGGTTTGTTATTACTCTTGCAAATGAGCTAACCAGTGTATAGTATGATTGCATTTTCTTTCTTATACAAACCTTTTGTTTTCCCTGAAGTTAGTTGATTTATATTTTGTTTGTTTAGTTTTTCTCTATACTGATCATCCAGACATCCAGAGAACTGGGAGCTCTTTTCCAGATGGATTCAGACACACCCAGTGTTTTGTCATTTGGAAGTCAGTTGGGAGTCATCGGCTCAGTCGTAATTTGGGGACTTCCCTTTAACATCTGTCTGGAAATTTCCTTCCTCTTTTCATGTGTCTCCATCTCACATATCCTTCTGTCTGATATGTAGCTTAGTGACTGACATTCTGAAGCCTACTCTCTCCAGTTCAAATCCTGACTCATAACCAGATGTGTGTCCTTGGCCAAGTCATTTAACCTCTTTGTGCCAGAGTTTCCAATCTGAATGATGGCAATAATAATCTTACCCACCTCAAAGTGTTGTTTTAAAAATTACATGAGCAAATAGATAAATAAAAGGGCTGTACGTGCTGTAGGTGCACAATAATGTTTGCTATTTTTGTTACTGTTAGTGGTGGACAATATCCACCACTAACAATAAAACCATTTCCAGAAACAGGTGTAGCTTCCTGAAAAAAGGGTTCATGGGAAGAAAAAAATTTTGTCATTTCTGGAAAATACATTCATGCTACCCTTGCTCTTTCTTGAATTATAATTTGGCTAGATTTGCATTCTGGATTGGAAATTCTTTCCGAATTTTAAAAATGTGCTTGATTGTTTAATAGAGGCTGTGCATTTTATTGGGCACTTAGCCTGGAAGCTCAAGTCCTTAACATCTGGAAAATGTTCTTATTTATTTTGACAATTTTCTTCCCACCAATTTTCTTCCTCTTTTTTGTTTACTGTCTTCTCATTGTTTTTCCTCTTGCGGGATTTCCTCCACTTATCTCCTCCCGTGCTATTGTAGTGTTTTTCTTGTTTGTTGTTTGTTTGTTTTTGAGATGGAGTTTCTCTCTTGTTGTCCAGACTGAAGTACAAGGCTCACTGCAACCTCTGCCTACCCAACCTCTGCCTACCGGGTCCAAGCGATTCTCCCGCCTTAGCCTCCCAAGTAGCTGGGATTGCAGGCATATACCACCACGTCCGGCTGATTTTGTGTTTTTAGTAGAGACGGGGTTTCTCCAATGTTGGTCAGGCTGGTCTTGAACTCCCAACCTCAGGTGATCTGCCCACCCCAACCTCCCAAAGTGCTGGGATGACAAGCCTGAGCCCACTCCCAGCCACAACGCTTTTAATTGTTACAAATAATGTCTTAGTTTTTTAATGTCTTTTTGAATTCTCCCTGGACAAAATGTTCATTCTTATTGCTAGATACATTAACTGTATTATTATTATTATTTTTTTTTCTGAGACGAGTCTCTATCTGTCCCCCAGGCTGGAGTGTAGTGACACAATCTCGTCTCACTGCAAGCTCCGCCTCCTAGGTTCACGCCATTCTCCTGCCTCAGCCTCCCGAGTAGCTGGGACCACAGGCGCCTGCCACCACGCCCGGCTAATTTTTTGTATTTTTAGTAGAGACGGGGATTTCACCGTGTTAGCCAGGATGGTCTCGATCTCCTGACCTCGTGATCCACCTGCCTCGGCCTCCCAAAGTGCTGGGATTATAGGCATGAGCCACCGTGCCTGGCCTAACCGTAGTATTTTTGAAGTTTTCTTTTGCTCACTGCATTATCTCTATTTTCTTCATGTTTCTTTTACTGTGTATTGTTTTTGGTTTCTAATTTTAAACACTCTCAAATGTCTGGAAACAGCCTTCTCACTTTTTTTTTTTTTTAAGACAGAGTTTCACTCTTGTTGCCCAGGCTGGAGTGTGGTGGCACGATCTCAGCTCACTGCAGCCTCCGCCTCCCATGTTCAAGCAGTTCTCTTGCCTCAGCCTCCCAAGTAGCTGGGATTATAGACATGTGCCACCACGCCTGGCTAATTTTTTGTATTTTTAATAGAGACGGGGTTTTACCGTGTTGGCCCGGCTGGTCTTGAACTCCTGACCTCAAGTGATCCACCCGCCTCGGCCTCCCAAAGTGCTGGGATTACAGGCGTGAGCCACCGCACCTGGCAGCCTTCTCACATTTTTAAGTGAGACACTAAAAACTGACTGCAAGATTTTCATATGTGAATAGAGCTAGTTTGGTGGGTTTCACTGTTGGGTGATCACATAAGAAGGAGTCATTTTGTTGGGGGTGCTTTACGTTGGTGTCTGTAGACTGTAAAAAATGGGAACTGTTGGACAATAAGATAAGTATATTTTTAAAAACTGAAAATCTTAAAAAGTAATTTTAAAAAACGAGAACAAAAAAAAACAAGATGCTATCCAGAAAGGCCAGGCGCAATTGTTAAGGAACCAAATAGAACTTTTAGAAATCAGCTTCCCAAGGAGGAATTCTA